TGCCTACTTTGCGCACTTTCTACTACCATTTTCGAAACAAGGGATTGTATTCTTGCCCTTTCTCTGTCCTTCGTAAATGCAACCTTTTGTAAGGGAGTGTCAAACCGCAGCTGTCAATAATTATCTAACCTTGTATTATTGAATCATGGTCCACAATATTTTATATCAGCTGTTTACATGTATAACGGCCCTGGTTTTGATTTCACTTTTAGCATGATGCTGCCATATTTTTACTCACTTAAATTAAGTAAAGTTAATTTCGACTTAAATGAGTTTGGAGAAACGCAGCCTTAATAATGGTTTTTCATTGAGCAAAACCAAAGGCAAAAAATGCACAAGCCCTGGTGTAATAATTTATGTTTGTGTATTTCGCTCTGTGTAAAAAATGCTCCCTCCTAAATATTATTTTATTGGTCAGTACTGGATAATCGTTATTAATTTAAACGCGAATGGTTTGTTTATTACGCTTTCACGCTTTAACTACTCAACCTATCATAATGAAATTTCGCACACTAAAGCAGTGATGCCTACGGTGACCATAAATATATTTTGAAAATGCAGGACAATTTAAAAAAAATGTATCTACATATAATTGCGTAGTATAAAAATAACAAAAATATACTACATACATATATACATTCCACGTCATTTGAATAGCGCACCCTTTACTTGATTTTCTATCATACAAAGTATGCTTGACAAAATTTCTATATGGAAGAAAATGCGCAGCACCGTCAACAAAAAAATTGTCGCCCCTGTATATGTTTTTTTAATTTTCAAAAATTTTTTAAATCGGATGTAGACGTAGAATATGCTATATTTTTATAAAAAGTTAATGAATATTAAACAAACAAAAGGAAAACTGTACCTACTAAGTATTAAAAGGGTGCGCTATTCAAATAACGAAGTCTGTATATTTCTTAATTATTAATCCAATTTTAAACTTTAAACATAAATCACATTTGCTTCATTGGTATTAATCTTTTAGTAATGAATGTTTACAAAATTATAATAAGGCATATTACTTATTACTTTACACGAAATACGAACCTCTGTAAAGCAAATTTTTTAGGCAAACTCTGGGTCGGTGAACACGAAAAAAATACCCATGGTTTCAAAGAAGTGTTTTCGAGATTCGTTCGAAAAACGTCTTTTTAGTACTTTTTCAGTTATTCCTCAAATCTCATGAAACGACCAACAGTTCGAAAGGTATTGATGGGCTCTTTGCAAAAATATATATTTTTTGTGCAGATTGTGTTCCGTATCATCTACATTTCTCATCAGATTTTCATTTACTGTAAAAAGAAAATTAATTAAATTTCAATTTTTCGATTTTGGGCGCTTGTAAGACTAATAATTTGCAGCGAAATCGGCAAAGTAATATATTTTTGTAAGAGGACTGTAGGTCGCTTATGTTGATTGGATAATTTTTTCATGAGATATTGAGGAATAGGTTCGAAATGTACCAAAAACACGTTTTTCGAAAAAATTACCAAAACGCTTGTTTCAAAGGAAAATTGGCTTGGAAAATATTTTTTTCTTAAGCGATTACCACAACATTTGTAGAAGAGTGTTATCGATATATTTGATGCTGGTCTTCAATTTCTCGTCATCCATTGTCCATAACCGTACAATATTTAGAACGCACTGACTAGTTGAACCTTTGAAACCAGCTTACCCTTATGTAGTTATCAATTAGTTATCGACACTGCTTTTATTTCGATTAGGAAAAGTTAATTTTAAAATATCGAAGAAAATGCAGGACAAAGGCAGGACACTTGGAAAAAATCAGTACATTTTGGGGGTTTTCTGTTTTGAAAAACTACGCAGGACAGACCTTTAAATAACAGTACGGTCCTGCAAAAAACAGAACGGATGGGCACCGTAGTGATGCCACATGTTTTTTTCGAAAATCCCTACCATCGCCTAAAAAAAATCTCTACTTTTCCCTACGCCCAAACAAAAAATTCCCTACGAAATTCCCTACAATATTTTTGTAACAGCAGCGGTACAAAAATTTTCAAAATTAAAGCACATTTACATGAGGCGGTTTTATAAAAAAAATTAATTCAGTTACATAGATTGAATAAAAATACGGGTTTGTTTTAAATATGGGTGTTTCCAGCGAAAAGTCTACCGCGTAAAAGAATTAAAGTCCTGTATCTAACTTATTTATAGACCGATTTGGCTGCTATTTACAATATATACTGGTTATATAAGCAGAAACATTTTTGCCAAAAATGGTCCCGTTAGGTGGCGCCTCGGGATATTTTGAAAAACCGTATTTATGCTCTGATTTGTTTCACATTTGGCATGTTTAGTTGAAACGTAATAAGACACAGATTTGCAAAAACTTAAGCTGATGGCGCTTATGTCAAAACAAAAAGATCAAGAACAATATTATTTGAGTAGATAACGTTACGCCAGGTAACGTCACGTCAGATAGTACAGCTGATTAAACATAAAGCAGAAAATATTTCTACATTTAAAAACTTGGAAAATTGACCTTAAACATTTCCAATATTACTACAAAAACTTTTATACAAATAGTCTTGCCCAATTCGCAGAGTTAGGCAATTTTGTGATCGAAGTCAAAATCCACTTCATGCAGTTGTAATTTATTTTTTACTGAATAAGGGGCCATTTAATTGCTATGCAAATCTAGATAGAGGTTTTTAAAATTTTGACTTTTTTAATCTTTTTTGTAACATTTTGTCGTACGAGTGTCACATAACGTCAGTTTGGAAATACCCTTATATATAATCCCAGTGGGAAAAAGTAATGTTTGAGAATGTAAAAATTAATGGATAGCCCCTATAACCTACGCACGAAAAGATGCAAGAATTTCTCTACAGCGTTGTCATACGAAAGTAATGTGTCGCATGTCTCTTTGCGAAGCTATAAACACAATCTAAGCACGGCAGTCGAACAGGCATCCATTCGGCTACAACAGCTGTAACGTGAAAAAAAAATTTACTTGAGTTAGTTTTCAATTTTTTCTTTTGTTTGTGGCTTCAAAGCTACACATCATCCGCTCGCTTACATTGCGATGCATCTTTTCTTTCAACCGTACTTGTTAATCCTTTCTTGGTAGAAAAATGTAATGGATTCCCATTTTCCCACTGGGATTATTTCAATACAGTACATACATACCTTTTTTATTTAAATAAATCACAGTATGTGTTTATTAGAAAAGAAAACAAAAAAAAAATGTATTTATGAAAAAAACATCAAAAGCAAAAAACATAAGTGAGGAAATTTTAATGATGGTCATATGTATATGTTTTTAGCCATCATAAATTTAAAAATAGATTCTGGACATTTGTACGAGCCGCAGTCAACACATTCGTCTTGCAAAAAACGACAGAATCATGCAAATATTTATTCACATTTCAAAAATTCGCCACATTTTAAGATATATAAAAAATCTGCCCTTTTCCCTACGTACGCATTTTTCCAGCCAAAAATCCCTACATGTAGGGAATTTTTCCTACATGCGGCATCACTGCACTGATGCCATTTAGTCCAACTTAAATTATGGGATAGCTTTTATCTCAATTAGCCAAAGGGGCGTTGCACCTCCCATACAAAAGGAATTTTTCATACTGCATGCCTCTGGAAGTATTTTGTGGTAGTGTACTGGAACTATACTCATGGAAAAAATGTGGGTTCTTGGAAAAGGGGAGTGGTAGTTATATTACCACTTGGGAAAAAATTAACTTCAATTTAAAGTATTTTATAAGTTAAATGAATTATTAGAAAATGTATGTCGATCAAGTCGTTGTATCGCAGAAATGGTGATTCTTAGGAACAAAAGTGTTTATAATCACGTTCGTAACATTCGCAGCAATTTTCAGCTTTATGCAACCTTGAAAATTTGACCGGGCTAGTAAGAAACAATTTTAAAGATATGGTTTAAATGGAGTAAAAATATTAGTTACACGGGTTATAATGTACTTCCATTAGGTTGACAAGTGATAATTTATGAAAAAAAATTGTGCTACTAAGTTGAAAAAGAAAAAAATTTTTATTGAAAAGTCCCCATCTCAAAAGATTGTCCCATATATCGAGGGCTTATATTCAATAGCCTCTATCTGCAATTTTGATGAAAGTTAGTTTTTGATGGTAACATGAGCTCTTATTTATCTTTCAGCCATGACAATAATGTTAAACTTAAAATTTAGCTTTAATGGTATTATATTTTCATTTTGAAAAATCCATTATCTGCAATAAAATTTTGTTAGAAGAGCAAAATCTTCTATCTACACAATTTTGCTGGAAAATGGTTGTCATTAGCATTTTTGTGGCAGGTCAAATAAAGACTGGGTAAGTTGCATGTGTTTAGCCTGGGGCAAAACTAGGTTGACCTAAGATCGGATTTTACCTGTAACATATACATTGTATGTATATGCCCCAGGCTAAACTAGTTCTACCTAATGCGATATATCTGTCCAACCGAAACCAAATTGGATACAACAATCTTGTGGACTGCGTAACTTGAGTTGGACTGATGTGAGTTGTCCTAAGATCATAACTCAAAAAATCAAAACTCGAGAAAAACGGCTTTAAAGTTTTGAATTTATATATACTCCGATACTTAAGATTAATACATATTTTGTGCTAGTTAGATACAGGTAATTGATACAGCTATGACATTTGTACACGACATAGAAGAAGACGTAGCGATAATTTGTGCATACTGAACTCAAAATTTTTATTTTTTTGAGCGATGTGTATATGTTTATTTGTCTCCACTTGGTCCGAAGATTCCCACAATTCTCACTTACTCATATCTATTGAAGAGTTTGACGCAACCACCTCTTCGATGACAGGCAAAAGCCCTCCGTCCGTATCCCGTCAAGCATAGAGTCATT